CTCGTCAGGTTTTCACAAAAAACAAATTGTTATCACATCAGATGATCGCAAAATGTCTTTAGAACAAATTTCATGCCCGTTGAATACCCAATTGACATGAATTCAAACGAAGTGCAAAAAATTCGCACACCCGACATGGAGTCACGAGTGTTGTTTACTGATTACTTATTTAAAATGCGCATCTCGTGCAAGTTGCGATCATTTTTACTGATTTTGTTTTTTTGAAATAAATTTCAACGCATATTCGTAATTTGTTCATTGACTGAAATATTGAGGAAAACAAAATTGCGTTCTATATTTGGCGATTGAAGAGATAATAATTGCAATCATTCAACTACTCTGGGATTCGAATTACTTTCAAGTGTGTGGTAATCTTGATGCTGATACTCGCATGCACCACTTATTGTCACGTTATTATCGCAGCGTTCGTAAAAAACACAGGTTTCACAATAAACAAGTGGAAATAAGCCCAAATAAAAACAAAAACACTGTCGCCATGACTAAGAAAGAAAGAGAAAACACATAATAAAAAATAATAGAAAACAAAAAAAGCTGACTGAATGAACTGTTATCATATGTTCGGGAACTTTCGGTGATAAATATCTAGTTGAAAAACCCCAATTAATCTGAAAATCGCTATCGAAAAGCGGCGGTTTACAGTGATGTTGTTATAAACAAAATTCAAATTGAAATGTTTTTAGAACTCCAAGAATTTTGAAATTAAAATGTTCAGCATTTCAGTTTCATCTGTCCCATCATTTCGCTTTCAATATTTTTCCCACTCTCAAGCTGAATTGTAAATTAATTGAAATGAACGTCATTGTGCGATTGTATTTTTAGCACGATTTTTTAAAAAATGTATCTGAGAATTTCAATCAACTTCTTTTGTATTCACATCATTTCAGGGCGCAATGATCGATTCATGTTAAATCAATCGAAAATGGTCGTTTTGTGGTATTTTCAAGCAAAACAATTCAAGCGTCGATTTCATATCAATAAATCATGGCAGATTTATAACTTTTGAGACAAACGACAAATAAAAATGAACTAGAACTATGTTTTCAAGTTCACTCTAGACAATTTATGAATGACGCTTATCATTTACGATCGATCAATTCTAAACTTGAAATATAACCACTGCAATTTAAAGACTTTATTTTTAATGTAAAATTGAATGAAGGATGTGATTAGTTCTGCCTAAATGTATCACCAAATTTGTATTATCAACAAAATAACATCGCCTACATCGATATGCCTAATTCAAAGTGAAATTGTGAAAACAAACGACTCAGTGACGCCAAACTTGCCATTGAATCAAGATTCTTAGCATTGAAATATGCCTTCGTAAATAATTATGTGTGACAGTCTTATCTAGAATTATATACAGTTCATTGCCATACAGCAATTTAGGTGTTTTGGTAAACTATTGAAGAACAAAATCTATTTTCAATATAATAACAAATGCGATAGGAGTGAAATTGGAGTGATGTGTTTACACGAATATTTCTCTAAATAATTCATATATAAGTTGTTACCAAACGACCTTTGTAGAAAAATTTAAATTATACATTCACATTGAGCTAGACCAATTTTTACAAAATACCAAACAAACAACAATTCCATCGATGATATGAAGAAGCGAACGAATGTGACTTGGTTACAGAAGAGGAAAGCGTGTTTCTTCGAGTTTATTTGCTGAGAAAGAATGAAAACTATTTTTACTCTTCATCTTACTGATTATGGAACTGACGCTTTGATTTCGGGAATGGTTTGTTGTGATGAACCATCGGAGTGAATTTCCATATTTCCAATAGAGTTACTTGAATATTCAACAAAGTAAATTGTTTTCGAAAACACATGTGGAAATGATTAGACACTTATTGTTTAAAATGGTTGATAAAACTGGTTTTGGGATAGATCAGTATTCAAAAACTAAAATAACATGCTTTTGTAAAACAAACGGTATTCTCATTCGTAAATTATTTCGAAAGGTCGTGCAATAAAAGAAAGATGATGATTGCGCAATCTGTCGAAAGAATCGATTGTATGTCACCAGACAGGCGAAATGAAGAAGCGAAACAAAACTCGCTTTTGAATATTATGCTAATGATTAGCGAGGTAGAAAAATATGGTACGTGTTACCCAGAAATTCCATTCAACGACCTACTTTGTTAATAATTTTTGGATGAATTCATTGGGAATGAACTTGCTCGAGAGAGCAAAATTCGTTGTCTCTTATTTTCAAAGTCAATATTTGATTGTTATGGTCTCGTTTTTGCCGTAGAATCTTCTTCTTGAATAATAAGTTTCGTGTGTGTGTGTGTGTGTGTGTGTGTGTGTGTGTGTGTGTGTTGGATTTTTGGAGATTGCTCTTGAAACTTTAAGCCGAATTGTTGAGTGTTTCTTTTGTAGTCAATTTTTTCACTCAATGCTTTTGATATTTTCATTTTTTGATCGGATTGCTACCACTAATCTTCCGATGAATAAAAGCCAGACATAAAAAACGGGCTGCGCACATCGACCAATATAATAAATATTAGGATATTTGAAGTTCAAACTATATAATAAATGCTATTGACCTTTGCGTATAATTCAAAAAGTGTTTGACTTTAACTTATAAATTCTTTATATTATTGATCGAACCAAAACCGATGCAAAATTCATGAGGCGCTCATTGACGAATTTTTTGAACCATAATGCAAACAACATTCGATTCATTTCAAATAAAGTGTCAATTCAAATACACATTGTGTATTTGAGTCTGGATGGATTTGTCCATTTATCCATCGAGTAGAAAATTTTGTGTAAATATCGAATGGAAATGTAAACATTGATTTGTCTATGTTCGCGCCATTAACTTCGATAGGCAAATAGCACTCTTTATCAATAATGTGCAGTTATTTGTGTTCAACGAGAAAGGTAGAAAAAAACGTATCAACACATTTACGCACACTTGTCGCCTATTATGAGCACTTAAATAAACGAGACGGAATCAGAATGAATCGGAGTCATTTTTATTCGTCGTTTTTTGTTTGTAGGTTAGCCATATAATTTTTTTTTTGCAGCGCATTCAAATGGGTGTCGTTAATGTGTTTATCTATCAATTATATTCCAAACATTACGAATAACCACATTGATGTGACATAATTTAGTTGTCACTTTTTTGTTGTTTGTTCCCAACGACACTCAATATCGAACTGTAACAAATCATCGCATTTTCACAAGTGCAGTCGCATTTGGCGTTGGGTGTTAATAAAATTGGAATTTCATCCAGTCATATAATACAACATCATCCACATGGAATTCAATGTTCTTTTAATAAACACAAAAAAACATATCAAATTATAATCGGGTTTTCATAGGCGCATTCCTCTGAGAACCAAAACATCAGCAAAATAAACTTGGCACCGCGCCAAAATATATCACAAGAATTTCCCCGAATGAAAATGAACTGAACCCAATAAGATAAACAAAAATATAAGAAAACAACTAAAAATCAAACAAAAACAGAGTAATTTTGGTCGGTCGTACGGTCGTCGGCCATTCACATGAAACGTGAAAAACGTACCATGCACTCTACTTGCGATGAAAATGTTTCGTTGCTTCTATATGTGTTTGTGTGTCGATGATCGGTCTCATTGAATAGCCAAATGATGATGAGGAGATAAATATTTGAAAGCATTCCGGTCAACCGAAAGGCAATAACATCACACAAACAATATAATGCCAACTTGCATCACATGGCTCCTTCTTCAAATAATAACATTTTATTTCGATTGATCTCATTGAAATCGGCTTGTTTTGATACAGAAGTCCCGCATTGGTTGGCGCGGGTCTGATTCAAAAACACTTCAAAACACAATCGAATCGAGAGAGAGAGAGAGAGAGAGTGAACGGCCCTATGTCCAGAAATTGCTGCACACCGCATATTGATTTTAAGTGTTCAACAATAATTTACAGAGACCAATAAATTGCCCAGAGAATATTTACGATGAACTCCACTTTATCAAACTATTATATGTGTGTGTATATTAAATGAAGATGCCGGGGTCTAAGTTTATACGTCGAATCGTGTTGTTGTTGTTGCCATTGAAAGTGATGTGAGCGAGTGTGAGTGTAGCCTTCGAAGTTAAGTCAAGTGTGCTCACACCAGTTTATGCGTCATGTATGCATCGTTTATAGTGGTTGAAATGTTTATTGACATTTTATTAGGCACTATTTGCACTTAATGTTTGTGCATTCTATACACAGTCCAACGAAAATATTTTCAACATGCATCGATACGATATCACTGGGCAAAAATCGAATTGACATTCGATATTTGTGTTTAGTTTACTCCAAGGGGAATTTGTACCATTTTCCACAGAACTTTGTTGTCAAAAAGTTTCACATCATGGTGAAACATGGCCCGAAGTTTTCAATTTTATATTCATAAAGTTGTTGTAAAATCAATAATGGGCATCAGTGATCGAGGCT